AAATTCCAACATAAAATTGAACAAAAACACATTTTTTCCATTTCTAGGGTTTTCGGATTTCTTAGTGTAAATCCAAAAATTTTGTTCAATCGTTTCCATAATTACATGTTGAACTCCTATCCTAGTCCCCGACAAAACTTCGGTTTCATTTTTCAGTTTTACGGATTTTTTCCGAGATGAGTTACTATTCATCAAAACGAAAAAGCAAGCAGTTTCTGATGAAAAATTCAAAATCTTACCTCGAAAAGTTGAGATTTTCCGCTAGAATGCCTCGGGTTGCGTTTCTACTGGACTGAACGGAAGAAATTTCGGTGAAATTGGGTGATTCCTTGATTTTCTCTCTTTTTCCTCTTTTCCCTCTTCTCTCGGCCACACTTAGGAAAATAAACCCATTTGGCCTCTAATGTCTCCCATAGGTCCTTTTTAGAACAATTGGAATATTATATTAATATTTCCAATAATATCTCCGTTTTACTTTCTAAATTAAATTAAAAAAATTACTTTAATTTCCATAATTTAATTTTACTAATTCTACTTAAGTTTAACACGTAACTTGAGTGGTTCTATGTTCCCCACATTTTTCTTGTCGAGACCAAACTTTTCGTTTCTCGAAACGAGTCTTTTTCAGGTATTGATAATTCCACAACCAATACAGGTTATATACTGTTTTTCTGGACTATCGAGTACCCTGGGTCAAACTTCTCATGTTCAACTCAATTCTCTTGGGTATCTCATTAGTCAATCTCTTTTTCTGAAACTATTATTTCAATTGATTCAGAATTGCCCAAAATGCGTACCCTTACGGTACTCTTTTTTTTAGCAGTTTCCCGCTTTAACTAACTCGGGAAAATTCTGTTTCAGGAACTTTTGCTATTTTTCTTACTTCGAATATTTCTACTCTTTTTCTAACTGGTCATTTGGTCACAAACTAAATATTTCAGTTTTTCATAACTAAAATATACCCGCTAAAATTTCTAACTTTTAACTTATATTTCACTATTCATAATTGATATTTATGAATTTTTTTTGTAAAAATATTTTTTATTATAACTTTACACTTTTCAGGAGATTTTACCCCATACATAACGTTTCTACATAACATTTCCTTGATCAAGCTGAAAATTCTACTACTTTCTGTTCCGAAAGAAATTATGGTCAAAATGCCAGACTGTCCGGATTAGACCTAAAATTTTCTCGGTTGTTACATATCCCGTCATACCCGCTTCCCCTCTCACTGGAAACCCCTCTTCCCGGCCGTACGCCCCCAAATCCGCCCTGCCCAGGCCCGAATATGCCCTGCCCAGGCCCGAAATCACCTCAAAACAACGTTGAGACCCCCGGCCCTGGCACGCCCCAAGGCGGCGCCAAAATGCCAAACCACGATGCCCATAGCCCTAGGGCGCCTCCTCTAGCAGCGAAACCCTTTGATCCGTTGCCCCCAACCGCGACCAAGCCGCCCCCGCCGCACCCAACACTGAGGAAAGTCCCCCCAAGTCGCGCGTCCCCTGGACCATTCTCCGCGCTAGCAGATCTGTCGCGGGCCGTTGCCTCTGGACGAGCGAAACTGGCGGTTTCCGGCCCCTCTCCCCCTGCGCCGTCGCCAACCACGGGCTTCGTACCGCCAAACCCAAACCCCTCCCCCGCTGCGCCGCCATGGCTCGTCGATGCTGCCGGTGGTGGGTTGAGGTGGAGCTCTATTAATTTCAGCAACATGGCCTCAAGGGATGAAAACTGTTGTTAGACGATGTTAAATCGCTCGTCAATGGTGGTATTGAGCGATCCAACCTCCGTTTCTAATTTCTAATTAAGCGCGTCCACCTTATTCGCTGCCATTGTCCCAAGATTTTTACTCTGATACAAATGTGATAGGTTTTAGAGAATAATTAATTGGGATTAGGGCTTATTATTATTAATCAAATCAACTGAAAGACAAATTCTGACCTACAATTCGAGAGGTAGGTCAATCTCTCTGAAACTCCTAATTATTTCTAATAACTTGACAAAACTCAGCATAAACATCATTAACTTACTAATGTCCTCTTTATACTAAAGTCCTAAATCTATAAAATGTCAAAAGACTAATCTGCCCCCTAACCTTTGTAGGTGTTTGGGCTTAACAATTATTCATCAAAACAAAGATTCCAAAAACGAGCATAATTAGACTCATAAAATAGGAAACCATATAAGGACAAATTCAAATCTTTACAAAAAGGATTTATGCAGCAAATTAATCTCCAACCATATCACAACTGATCTTCCAAATTTATTATGCACAAGAGCAACAATAAATCAGGCAAACTCATCATCAATAGATAATTCGTTGCAGAATATGTTATGATAAATCTGCAAACAATCTATCCAGGTCAGACTTTCCATTCTCTACAGAAACCTGCAAGTGACAGCACCACGAAATTTTCAATTTGTAAACAATGCCAATTCGAAAATCCAACAATCTCCTCCTTTAACATTATTTTGACAAAATATCACAACAACACCCTCTGTATCACACAACACAAAATCAAAGTCTGCACACTACTCCTTTTGGACAAAATAATGATCAAAACATGCTCAATGAGCGAGTGCGAAAAGAGGAAGGAGAACCAACAATTTGAACGCCAAGAATTGCAGCAATCTGATCTCCTTCAGCAGAAACAATAATGAACTAGAAACCTGCATAAAATTAGGAACCTTCTTCACGTCTTCAATGCTACCTGTTGCAAAATCTGTTGCAACATTTTTAAAGCAAAACATGGTGCAACATCTTCTTCAATACTATCTTCCTCTTAATGACTACTACAAACTTGTTAGAATGAGAATAAAAGCCATTGCCTGCAAAATCTATATGCCAAGATCTTAACAAAACACACCGTGACCTGCTCTGATACCAATTATTAAGTACCGATGTACCCTTTTTTATTATTTCAAATTTCTTACATATTTGCATAATCAATTTAATAACGAAACTTTGTAAAAAGACGCAAACCGATACCTAACATTAAACTTTAAAGAGCAAAATAGAAATGGCCGTAAAGTGTGAAGAGCACAAGTAAGATTATCCTTCATTTAATCAATAAATATTATCATTCTTAAATCATTTATATTTTAAAAATTAAAAGTTCACTTTTACAAGTTACCAAAAAAAATAAACATAAAATTTGAAATAACGTTATGTATTGAAATACTAAGAATAACATAACAAATGTCATTTTTTCACACTTTTTTTTTTATAAATATAATATAATATTAGCACATAGACATTAACTATAAAGATTGTTTAATATGTGAACTAAGAGTTTATATATAAACAAAGTTGGCATTCATTCTTTTAATAGGGAGCAACCATTAATATTCTCTTTTTTTCCATATATCAAATGTAAAAAAGTAACAAACTACTATTCTTAATTTGTAAATAAACACATGAATAAATACGAAAGGGAATCACTTTTTTTTTTTTTTTTTTTTTCATTTCACATCTTTCCATCCTTTTCTTCTTTACGTGACGCAAGACCTTAAATTTTTTCCTTTTCTCATTTTCTCACTCTAGATGCAAAATTCTTCCAATTAGTTTGAGTTTAGAGATGAACCATAGCTTTCATTTTGCAATTCAATTTTCGAGTATCACAGGTGTACCATTCAACGGAAGAATCTTCCTCGAAAAGAATAGAAAGAGTAGAACTAGCCTCACGCGTTTTACATTCTTCTTTATATTCTTTGGTGTCGGAAAAATCTCCACAAAATAGCAAGCAAATAGAAATATTTAGAGAAACAAACGAGTTAATTAATTATGATGAAGTAACTAGAAGCAGGAATAGAAATCCTTACAGTCTATATGTATAGATCATGGTTGTACTGTGTATATTACTAATAATTAGGGCTGACAATATGGGTCATGACACGACGACACGACTCGAAAACGACACGAATTTTGCGAGTTAGGGTTGAGAAAAAAGAGGTTCGGGTCAGAATTGGGTCGGCCTGAAATTGACACGAAAAATACGGGTCAATTTCGGGTTGGACCCGCCTAACCTGAACACGACACGAAACTTGTAAAAAACTAAAAGATACATATATTTTTCATTACATATTTTAAATTTTATTATGAATTTGTGATATCATAATAGTTATACTCAAAATCTTATACTATTCTTTGCTTAATTTCAAAGGATGTTATTGTAATTTAGTGTGTTATAAATTTTAAGTTATTTCTAATATGTAAAAAACTAAATAAAAGTATACAATTTTCGTGTCAATTTCGGATTCACGGGTCAATTTCGTGTCACGGGTCATTTTCAGGTCGTGTCGTATCAACTCGTAAAGTGGTCGTGTCGTGTTCGTGTTGCGGTTTTTAAAAAATTTCGTGTCACGGGTCGTGTTCGGGTTGACTGTAAATTTTTAAAAAAATGATCAAAACACGACACGTGACACGAATTGACACCCCTACTAATAATCATTGTTAATTTTCAACTAATTACTCTATTGTATAACTCCATATTTTTTTTTTGGAAATACTAAATTATTAAGTCTAATCTTAAACATTAATGCGATACATAAAGACTTGAATAACTAATTATGAATCTACATACACATGTATACCCTACTTAGATTCTAAAATTTTGATTCCTATATATAATTTTTTTTTTTGAAACTTCAATTGCGCTCTTATTTTTGTTCATGCTCTTAATTTGTTTTGGAACATGAGTGCTCCTATTCTCAACATATATATAAATTTATCTTTTTATTTAGAATCGAACTTCTATACAATGATTGTACACATATAAGATCACGTCTGCATTCAATTTTACAAAATTGTAACAATGAAAAATTATATGGCTCAGATTAAATATTATTCATCACATAGAAGACTTGCATAATTATACATATATATATAAATTTTTATGACGCTATTAATAAAATTTTGTGATGACCACGACCTAATGCACATGACCAAGAGGGTTGACTTACGTATCCAGAATACTATATACGTATTTGCCGGTTCATCCCAAACTTGAAACGTTATTATTAAACAAGTTTATTAAACAAGTTGAACTCTTCAGCATTTCCCACAACCACAACCAGAACTATCCCTTCTCTCTCTACATATCTCTCTTTCTCTCTCTAACTATATCGATCTATCTATCTTTCTCTAATGGAGCAGAGTACTCTAGAGATCAACGTCATCTCAGCCAGTGATCTCAAAGACGTAAATCTGGTGACAAAAATGGACGTATACGCTGTCGTTTCGATCTCCGGCGACTCCAAGCACCCCAAGAAAAAGGCCAAGACCAACGTCCACCGCGGCTCCGGCACAAACCCCACCTGGAATTTCCCCCTCAGCTTCACCATCGACGAGTCCTTGGCCCAAAACAACCGCCTCACCCTCGTCTTCAAGCTCGTCTCCCAGCGCAGCCTCGGCGACAAGGACGTCGGCGAAGTCAACGTCCCGATCAAGGAGCTTTTCGCCTCCAGAGACGAAGGAAACAATAATTCCATGAAGTTTGTCAGCTACCAGGTGAGAAAACCCTCCGGAAAGCCGAAAGGCGAGCTCCGTTTCTCCTACAGGTTCGGCAAAAACGCCGCGGGAAAACCCGCCGCCGACAAGCCCGTCACGGCTTACCCGGCGGCGGCGGAGGTGGGACCCTCATACCCTCCTCCGACTGTTACAGGACACGTCGGTGTGTATCCACCGGCGGCCGCGGCGTCAGCTCCACCGGCGTATGGAGGGGCAGGGTACCCGCCGCCTCAGGCAGGGTACGTATACCAACCGCCACCGCCGGGTTACGGGTACACACAGGCTCCGGGTTACGGGTACACACAGACTCCAAGTTACGGGTACCCGCCCGCGCAGGGGTACGGGTACCCGCCACCTCAGCAGGGGCCTAAGAAGAGTAACAAGTTTGGGATGGGGTTAGGGGCCGGTTTGCTAGGAGGGGCAATTGGTGGGCTTTTGATTGGGGATATGGTCTCTGATGCGGCTGCTTTTGATGGGGGTTTTGGTGATGCTGGTGGATTTGATTTTTAATGTCCTTTTTAGTTTTTTTTTTTTTTTTTTTTCTTAATTTTGGTTGATAGTTGTGTTAGGACGATAATTAAATTTGGCTTGGTTGTATAATTATAAGTTTGGACGAAAATGTATTTTTCATGTTTTGATGGTTTCTAGATGTTGAGGGAAGTAGTCATACGTGACATCATGTGGTTTATATATTTTTCCATGCGTAATTTATATGCATTTGACTGTCAATAGGAATTTAGACTTTGTATATACAGGGCCAAAACTATGGTATAGGGAGCTAGTTTATGTATGGTTTATATACGAATCAAGATCTTCTGTTTTTTTTTTCTTGATAACTGTCCCTCCAATTAAATTTTAATACTTTGTGAATTGTTTAAGTATTTTTAATATTTTGTTTCTGTTTCAAGGGTCACATTTCTAAATTTAAATTACATGACAAATAATTAGTACAGTAACAGCTAATGAGACAAGAAAATTGAGATAGTAAATATGGATTCTCAATATACATGCAATTAGCAATAATTAGCATTCTAATTTGTCTAGAATGGAAGTGAGACGACCCTACTAGGTGATCGTCACTGAAACTAATTTTAACATATTTATTAAAACTCTCCAAAATATGTGGGACCTTTTTTTAAAAAAAAAAAAGCTATATAGAATGTTGTAGCATTTTTTTAAAAAAGTAAAATGCTATAACGAATGCTATAATATTCTGAACATAAGTTTCTTACTCTTAAAAAGCTATATCATTTTTTTAAAACTTACTGTAACGACATAAATTATGGTTTCCACTTTTGAACATAGCAAAGTGTTTATACTTCAAAAATAATTCCTTTTCTAAAGCATAAATTTACACATAGGTATATACTTACCTCTCAAAATCCTGCTAGCTTACACAAACTTAACAAGCATATTACAAACTTCTAAAATACAAGTTCATAGACATATTCAACAAAATCTATTTAAAACTTTAAACTATTGCGGAAATAATTATGTACGGTATCCATTCCCCGATCTTCACTCCATTCGTCTGCTGCCTTGCCATCAGTCCATCAAGCATTATGCGTAGGTTGCTTACCTATAATATAAATACTCTGAAATGAGCTTTTGCTTAGCAAGTATGAACTATTACTCACAAAATAACTTAAAGTTCACATGAATGATATGCATGAACTGATTATGCTGAATTATGATTTCTTAACATAGATTTATTATTTAGTCTTATCGTTCTTACTGATGGGTCTGAGTGTTCATACCATTACGCGTGATATACCGGACGTGAGGGTTCATAAGGCCCCCATCGACTCCGTAATTAAAACTAAACTGAATGCCTCACTTGGGCCATAGTACCTCTCATCTAGGAGGCTCTGAATTACCTCAACTAGGAGGTTCTGAAACTGGATTACCTTTCAACTAAGAGGCTGGTACGACACTCAACTGAGATTATTCTTATAAGTTCCTTTTGACTTATTAAGGTGTATGCAGTATGACATAGCATAGCATACTATAACATGAAATGTACTCAAACACATATAATTCATGTGTACTGTTTATTTTTAAATCTATTTATACTGTAGGTGAGATTCCTACTTACCTGTTTTAGGAAATGGAATCCTCTATTCGCCAAAGAGTCTGTTCTCTTTCTTTCTTGTTTCTAAGAATAAACACCCACTAAGAGTGTGATATTAACTATCACTTACTATTCTATTTTAGCAAGCTTGTAAGAAAGTCTAATTTCTCTATTTATGGCTCTCTTTCTCTTTTCCTATCTTAAAGGATTGTAAAACATTGTTTCTAATTTAAAGATTAGGTTTATTGAATCCTGATAACCTTACTTTTTATTGGCAAAGTCTGAAATCGATATACTTTTCTGAGATTATACTTCGAGTACTTCAACGAACTCCTCTGTTCAACACCAAAATTGTTTTAACAGTTATGCAATGTTTTCTAAGAAAATAGTTTAAAGCTTCTATTTAGAACTAAAACCAAGTTTAGCCTCAAATTCTAGAACTCAAACTAGGTTTAACTTCAAATTCTCAAACTAAATTTCGGCGGAGTTTCGCCTTATTTTATGTGTTTTCTGAGCTATCTTTAGCTCGTTTTATCCGTTACTTCATCTTCTAATCATAACTAACAATCTTTGTCATACAATTTAATCAACTTAGAAACCATACTCTAGGGTTCTATCCAATTTCTCAAAAGGATTTTCATATCCAAAAGTTACTAGAAACATAATCTAACAACCAAAAATTTATCCTTTAATCACTAAGCTTTCAATTCCTTTATCAATTGAAATTCAATCATCAATTTAGCAAACTTTCTCTATACTCTCTACCACATCCAAACCATTCGGCCAATGTAAAAAAGGAGAGGAAAAAATGAAATCCCACCTTAAAAGAATGAAGAATAAACTCCAGAGTCACTAATCCTATGTAGTTCGATCGATTCCCGCTTAAAACTTATTTTTCGTCACTTTTGGTAAATTTTTTTCCTCTCTATTGGATGAACACTCACTGATTTTTGGCATGAAAAAGATAGTGTTTTATTATATTTTTTACACTTAAACACGTTGGAGGAAGAAAATGAGGGGTCTAAATGCAATTTTATAACTTTTGGGGTCTTTTTTGTAAATATTTACTAAAAATATATCTTCTTGGCATCTTGTGCAAGCTTGGCCGGCCATCTCATCATCCAAATGGCCAAATCTCAGCCCTTAATCTAAAACGTCACTTTAAATCTCTACCATCCATATTTAATGGTTATCTCTTTTCTGGTTCAGTTTAATTCCTAACCGGTACATGTTTTATCTGCATTTTCTAGACAGTTTGTCTCCTTGATCAACTTTATTCAACCTTAACTAATTTTTCAAGAGTGACATATTGGTCAATAATAAATTGACTTGGTCAACTCTAATTGGTCGGAAATCCCTATTTTCTTAGTTCGACCTTCCGGACCCATTTTTCGTCTGTTTTTCATTCTGATTGTTTCTAAAACCCTAGAATTGATTTTTTCAATTCTTTTTCACTTTTTAACCTTAAGATTCATGTACTGGCCCACTTGTGGGTTTAACACAGCATTCTGCACATCCTTTCTTATTGCAGTTCGAAAGTCGGTAACAGTATCTTACCTAACTTAAATTTTTAATTGCTTATTTGATGTCATCTTGCTTATATAAGCAAGGTTTAGTAAACACTTGGTAATCACCCATTGGTGTTCTATTCTTATAGCTATTCTTATTACTTCATACTGACTTTTGGGAATTTACTTAGTTGATAGAAAATTTCAGTTTCTGTCTTTGTCAACTTCTGAAGTAGTATTGCATCTGAATTTCTTTACTAAAATACTACCCCTTTAATTTCCTCTTCTGTGTTAGGAAATTAAGGGTTTTCTCTTTAAATGTCAGAGCGTTTATCTATACGCTGCTAACATTATATTGCACTAAGAGATTCCTAAGATTAGTGTCACGCCCCGGATCAGGGGTGGTGATGTGGAGGCTCGGTTAAGGGTTAAGATAAGACACCTCTTTACAATACATACATGCCAAGTAAATAAATCATTACAGTTACAGACATCATCCACAGTCTAGAAATCCAAGTACAGGAGTTTATAGGATTTACAAATTCTTACATTGGTATACAGGGAGGATGACACAATCCTCTCCAAAATCAGGTGGTAGCACTCAGCTACTCCGTACTGCTCCTAGAGTCTCCTGGGAGGGGTTAACATTTTTAAAACAATAAAACGTGAGTGAAAGGCCCAGTAGGATATATTTTGAAATAACTTGGTAAATAAATAAACAAGTAAATACATGAATCAGTAAATGAATAAATATAGACATTCAGCTCCAACACAACAGTCGGAACCTCATATCCTTTTTCTCAAAGGAAATGTAACTGAAAGTTACCGTATTACTGGCATCAGCAACTAATTTGTACAAATTACTTACACAACCAAGTGCACAAGCCTTCCCGGGTCGGGTTTTGGGTTCTGCCCCCGAGGATGCACTCTCCACATCCTATCTAGGCCATCAGCGGACTTACCGGTTCGCAAGATCTCTTTCATTAAGAAATCATGCATTAAACATTATGAAATCGTTATTATAATCCCACGAACTACAACAAGCCGTGGGTCCCCATGAACTATAACAAGCCATGGGTTCCGTGAACTACAACAAGCCACGGTTTTTAAAAAAATTTTCTTTCGCAAACAATCGTCTTTCTTTAAACATTTGCAAGGCCAAAACTCTTTGAAAACAAGCTAATAAAGAAAGGGATCAGGAATATCCTACCTCAAATTTACCAAACCTGTGGCTAACGGCGCACTATCCCAACTTCCGCTTCCTCAAGCCCCTCAGTCTGAGTCCTCAGCTATCACTGTTACACGACAATACTTTAGGATTCCAATCTCATTCCTAAAGTAATTCAGACTCAACCATATCCTTTGATTTCCTATTAGTGTGCCATAATCAATTTCATGTTTCAAATCATAATTCTAAGGGTTTTAATTCAAAAACATGGATTAAAGATGCTAATCCATCGACTCTAGGTCCTCAAATGAAGCTAATTTGGGTCCTCCCCGAAAACAGGGGTCAAAACAGCAATTTCAGGCCAAACAAGGTCAAACCCCGTGTACACCGGTCGACCGGTGACAGAGCAATGCATCACCACCGGTCGACCGGTGGTGTGCAATTTGGTCGACCACATCGGTCGACCGGTGGCCTAATGTATTCCGGTCAACCGGTCCGGTCGACCGCACAAGTCGACCTGTGAAGAACACCAGTGCGAGAAAACTCACAGAAATCTGTTCCAAAACCTGCAAATCCAGTCCCAAATCATAATATCTCAAGGGACAACACCTGAATCCGGGTTCTAGGTACTAAAACAAGTTCAAAGAACCCAAGATCCTCAATTTCTACCCTAGTTTTACTCAAAATCCATCAAAATTCTATTTCGAACCAAAAATGAACTTTAATTCAAAAATTTAGGATTTCAAGAGAGGTTTTTTAGAAATCTTACATTGAATCCTTCTTTTGAGGTTGAAAATTCTTTGAAATTCCTCTTTGGTTCGAGATCCGGTTGATTTGAAGCAAAAACGAGAGAGCGAGAGTAAGTGAGTGTGAGAGAACGAGAGAATGAGAGAGAGTGAGAGAGAGGGTGAACGGGAAGGAAGGAAAAGAAAAAGAAAGAAAGGATGAAAGGAAAAAGAAAAAAAAAAGAAAAGAAAATAGACAGGTACCAACATTAAAAAAACAGTCCGAAAATGGGCCCATGCACACTTCTGGGTTAAAATAAAATTACTGAGAATATTTAAATACCTTGGAATTATTTA